TTATTGGTCAGATCGCCTGTCAATCAAGCTCCCTGCGAAGGGTCAATTGCTTGTCTGTCTTGCTAATGCCAAGGAGACTGTTGGGCTTACGAATATTAATCATGTCTGCATTCGCCCAAACTGAATGATTCAATTACTTATTCATAAAGACATTAGCTGCACCCAAATATGCATACTTCCCTACTATATAGTAGACAAAAAACAATGTGAAAAGAGTACTATGTCCAAATTCACTGTATTTAGAAATATTTGGTGGGATTCTGAAGTGTGCCGAAAATGGACACGTGAGGCCATGGGAGAAGATTTGTGAACAGCAGTAAAGTGAAATGACTGATGCTGTAGGTCGCATGACACAGGGGTGCACATAAGTTTTTCGGCCTGGTTCTCATAAGAGCACCTGGAGATTTGGTTTGGTCCTCACACTGCACATAGTGTGACCCATTAAATATAACTATAAAAAATAAATTAATAATAGTGATAATATTGTTGCACTTTTAGTTTTTTTTTTTATAAAATAAAATAATAAAGTGTGATAATACTATTATATTTTAAAATAAAAAGGGAGTATTAAATACAAATATAATTATTTTATAATAAACTTAAAAATAAAATGCTAACATTTACTTTTTTTTTTTTTTTAATTTTCAAGCTTAAAATCCGCAAGCTTTTATATTGGCAGGTTGCCGGCACTGACGATTGAAGAGCATCAGTGAATGACATGTCACAGTTTTGCATTGTGCTTTGAAAATGCCAGCGGGTAGCCTAGATTTTTGCTTTCAGTTTGAATAGAAATCTTATACATTGCAGTTTGCCAGTGGTAATTGTGCATTAACAGCTGTCAACCATGTCGCATTGAGCGCACCAGGTCATGCATGTGCACCTGTGTACCCCTTGTGTGCACCCCTGCAAATGTAGTACATTTGAATTAAATTCATACTAATGTTATATACAACATACCTTTTGTAACATACGAAATATAACATTCAAAAGAAGTACCTACTCAAAATGTTTTAAACAATTTGGACTTGTAATGTTCAATCAGTATAAATGTTTGTCTAAATGATTCTGTATTTGGCACATGTAAATATTTTCACATTCTTTAAAAAAAATGTTTTAAACAAATCATTCAAGTGAACAATTCAATGACTCATTCATAAAGACAGTTACCTATGTAACTTACCTTACTGCTGTAACAATGCAACTTGCAGAATATATTATATTATATTATAAGAAAAATGATGCCAGTTATTGAGTCTGATATGACAATATGATAGTAACCTGATATAAGTGTATATAGCCTACTAATTATACATTACCTACCTCCCACACACACATCAAACACATATAATAGAAAGTCTTGAGCAGCACAGACCTTTCTGGGTTCTAAAACTGCCAGGGAGGCTTGTGGCTCTGGACCAAGAATGATATTATCCTTGAATTTTCATCAGGATGTGTTCATCAAGCTCTCAGCACCCAACATGGGTGAGAGAAAGAGAGAGGAGGTTGAGACCGAGATGGAAAAAGACAGACAGAGGGAGTACAGCGGCAGGCCAACTGCTGATGATTATCAGATTTTTTTCTGCTCGTATAGTGAGTTTGAGACTGTGTAATGGGAGCTTTTTGCTTTGGATTTTTACACAGCAGGAGAAGGTGGTGGTAACTGATCGGACCAGATATGTCAAACTGCTGCCAATCATCCTTATGTGCCACAAACTTTTATGGTTTTTACGTATTTGATGTACTGCTGCTAGTTGCTTATAATGCTATCTGTAAATCACATAATGGCAGCATGTCTAAATGTGCTCCATGTATTGTTATATTGAAGTTCTTTTGTTCTTCTGAAATCAAAAATAAACCCTGCGCTGTCAGCGTGCACACAGGATTCTTAATATGAGGTCACGAAGCGTCCAACCTCAATACACCAACCGCACGAATAAGCAGCCACTTCAAAAAAGGAACAGTATTACCTCTGAAAACAGTGCAACCTGAAAAGATAACAGCGTGCCAAAACACAGAGCCAGGCGACCCAGTAGATTACTAAACAAAACACGACACGCATACTTCACAGGCATTGATGTATTTTAGGAAACCGTCTTTAAAAGTAAAACGCTGCTTAAGGAAGAAAGGCGAGGTGGGAAAAAATGAACCAACAGCTCAACACACAATTATTCTTCAAGACATTGTGTTTGCCAGCATGAAAGACACTAATGCCATTCAGACTGGACACCGTAATGGCCTTAAGTATGTGTGGAAAGACTGCTGTGAGTGTACATACTTTGACTTGTGCTCTAAATGTTTAAGGTAATTTGAAAAACACAGATTGAATCACTTTTAACAATCTCTAATGGGTGTAATTGTTGAACAGTTTATATTTTCCACAAGGCCCAATGATTTTAACAAATCTTGTCTGTGGCTTTCTTTAAGTGGCCCCAACAGCACAACCTTCAGTGGCTGCTCAACTCAAGGCCAGTGTGAAAATGTTGGTTTAAATGAGGGACAGACTGTATTAACTGTACCACAAAAGGGATTTGAGATTTTAATGAGAGAACATGTTGACATCGAGTTAATTTCAGAAAATTACAACTACGGCAAAAGAACTACCTGCGTTTAATTTAGCCCAGTTCCATTACTCTTTGGTTCGCCATGTTGGAAACTGTGAGAAACATGGTTGGATCTCATCTAGCCCTAACACATCCTGAAAGCTCCAGCGGTGTGGCATTTAGTTGAATAAAACATCTTGGTTTGTCATCAAACTTGTGTGCTGAACGTGGGGTTTGGGTTAGTTCTTCATAAACGCTTAATTGTTTTTTTATGCAGATGCTGTTGCGGCAACTCTGCGAATAAAACACAAGTATGTTGCCCCAGCAGAAGAGGAAATAAAATAGTAATGAACAACACTTGGGTTCATTGCTCACGGGTTCAGTAAAAGATTTTCTGTCAGATTTTCTCTTTCCAAGCCAACCTGTGTCTTTAACTTGAAAATAAAGGTTCCAAAAGGAGGTTTTCACAGTGATGCCGTAGAAGAACAGTTTTGGGAACCTTATGAACAGTTCTTAAAAGAACCATTTTTTTCAACATTTTTATCCAGAAGCTATTTTCTATAAATACAATTTTTGTGCAATGTTAAAGGGTGTTCATAGAACCATAAATGTCAATGAAGAACCTTTATTTTTAATAGTTTAGTCAAATTATAGGTATTTAGTGATACCCATCAGCAGGTCTTCGGTTCTCTCCGGGTTTGTCCTTGCCCACCGATGACCCATGGAGCTGCTTTGTGACAACGTGGTAGAAACATACAAGACCTGACTAGATCTTAAATAAGACACTTGGTCTGTCAGACACCCAAAGCACCATGGCAGTTTACTGGTGAGGTGCATTTAAGGGTCATTACACTTTCAGCAAGGCTTCACAGCGCACATTAGCTCTCCCTCTGACTACACCACAGCAATGGGCATCCCACAAAATGAAGTACACCACAAAGTGATGTGACTACCTACCCAGGGGCATGTGGTTACCCTGGAGATGCCACTGTTAGAGTAAACCTGTGGGCACCCACATGTGGTAAACCCCTGGTAGACAAGAGACATTAAGAGAAAAGACATCGTTTTAGTGGTCGAGCAGCACTGTCTTTTTCTCTCCATGAACTGCATTCACGAGGGAAGTTAGTCACCCTGCTGATGTCCGGGAGTGTTTGTTCATTAAATAGGTAAAAATACACCCAAATAAAAGGAACGCGCCAATTATACGGGGCGTAAGGAGCGCACATGTGCCTCCGAGTTTAGTCACTTCACCTCCAAACACTACCCTGGATAAACCCGAAAGACACAGTCAGTGGCATTCAGTGCGACGTGTAAGTCGTGTAATTTGGGAAAATGAGAGGGTACCAGAATCACATCGATGCTCGCGAGGGAACTCACGCGAGCAGCGTCTCCTCAGCACGCTAGTCTCCCGATAAAGCATCGCACATGGCGTTGATATAATTAATTGGTTTATATATTGGTTTATAGATGGTTCTTAAGCGAACTGGAATAGAAGTAATTGTAGACCTCGGTAACCATGTTTGGGAAAGAATTAGGTTGTTCAATGAAGTGATTCCGCTCTCAAAATGTTAAGACAATAAAAATGAGGTCTCGAGGGATTTTCTGTCCTAGAGCGGTAAGCGTTTTTGGTGAACGAGAGGAACCCAGACTTCCGCAAGTTCTCGCGTTATTACAGGGAATGAAACCAAATATATTTAACGATAGCATGGGATTTGATATGATGTCTGATATGAAATACAAATTAGATTACTTTAAGATAGTCAGAACATGCATTTCAACGATAATCACGATATCTAGAACTGGAGCACGACAATTATCAGTGATGCACATAGGCCTATATGTGCCCTTAGCAAAAACGTATTTTATATATGTACTTGACATTAATTTACCTGTTTTATGTAGCCTAAATAGTGGATTTACAAGCTAATTTGGCAAATATTTAATCAGAACAGTATTACATATCAAAATAACACTTAGTTACAGACAAAAGACAAACAAATATGTTACCACCCTTCTATAAATTCGTGCTTCAGAACATTATCTATTAGTCTCTTCTCCCCACGCCTAAATCTTATTTCTCCACTCGACTGCAATATATCTATGAATTTGTCTCGCGTCAAAATTGTGACTGTTTTGCGCATCAGACTTCAGGTGAAGCTGCTTCTGATAAACTGCGTCTAATCACACCAGCTCTGGCTGATTTGAGTAACTTTATACAGCTCTCATGCAGCGGCTGATGGACGCGTTCCAGACGTGAACCCACACAAGAGAATACTGTTGCACTGGATGTCTCCCGGTAGCCTCCCCCTGCAGGACGGCGGAACCGGCATAAAACAATCACTGTATGTTCGCCGTCTGAGCAGCTTAGCTGGGAAACACGAGACGAGTCGTGTATTCATGTTCCCGGGCGAGCTTGAATAAAGCACGGAGGCGAAAGCGGTTCGTGTGGTTTGCGCACAGGATCTTAGAGCGGAGAACATGTGAGAGGGGAATGGGAAACTGGAAACTGGATTACATTTTACAGAAAGACGCAAAAGGGGTTACGTTCAGGTAGGTTCATTCGCCCTATATTTTACAAGTGTTTTCAGTTAGCCTATGACTTCTAAATGTTTTCACTGAGTCGTGTCGCCTCACATTCATTGAACTATGACAGGGATGTCATACAGTTTTTTTGGTTCATTTCCATCGCGCACTGTGGATTGCATTGAAGGTCCCCAAATGTTAACTTTTGTTCTCTCATAAATCGGGTTCTCTCTCCATAGGGATGTAAAAAAGATAAAAAGTACGGTAATAATATATATATATATATACATATAGCCTATATTTAACGAATATTTCTACATGTAAAATGACACACGTTCTGTTATGAAATAGCCTAGGGTATGTGTGTGTTACTGACCGGTCAACGCAGGATTATAGACCTCCTTGTGTCAAACAGGCATCATTCATTCTGAATACTTCTGATGTTATGCAGGTTTGCATAAATAAACTCTACAGTTGTTTCAAACATATCAGAGTCATCCGTTCCGTCAAATATTCCTCACGAGTGTTTTGTTTTGAATCAGGTGATCTTCTTTTTGCGTTTTTACATTAAAATGAAAACAGTTTTGACCTACAGAAAATGAAGTTTGTCTGAGATGTAGCCTATGTCTGGGGGAACTCACCGATGATAGTGAACATAAATGTCATCTTTTTCTGTTTCACAGGATTTTGACAAGGCGCAGCGGCTCCGTTGAGTAGGTACCTAGGACATCCCCGCGGCGGCCAGGGCGCTTTCAGCGGACACTGGGGGAAAAGAAGGACTAATATAGCCTACCAAAGATGAACACAATTGTGTTTAATAAGTTAAGCAGCCAGGTTTTATTCGAGGAGAAGGCGAATGAGGTGGAAAGAAGCAGTCGAAATTATTTAGAGGTGATAGATGGACAGCATCCGGACCTGCTCGCCAGCAGCCCAGTCCTCAAAGACAACTCAGTTATCCGGCACAGGAGATCCGGGTATGTCACAAACTTCAGTGTCTTTTGTCAAATGTACTGCAGGTTCGTGGACACGTTTCCTTCTTTTAAAGAAATCCATTAACAATAGGCTACCCCAGAAATGAAGCAGATGCACTGTAAAATATTTTCATCATGTTTCATTAAGTGAAATATTTGTTTCCATCAATTTCACTCGATTTTCTTCATCAGAAAACTCATTCGAAATGGTCTAAAACTTGACCGTATTTATCACTGCAGACGGTCACATTAGCACCGCAAGTTTTTAAGGTTGTTGTTTTTTTCACAGTGGATGATAACTGCTTTGCACATCGTTTATTTTTCATGACGGAATAATCAGTCTAATTATTCTGGTAAGATACTTAACAGGGGAAAAAAGAATATAATGATAGCCTGTTTAAGTCATCTGTGGTCATTTTAACGCTGTTAATGCTTTTAACCGCGTGACAGCACGGAGAACCTTATTAAAGATAAACATCAAGTTGTTCAGTTTTAGAGCCAACGGTGAAAAGCAGTGGCTCGTCCAACTGTTTGACTTTTCATAGTCTTTGTGTTTTCTTTCCATAGATTTGCGCTCAGTTGTGGTTAGAGCGCATATGGTTTGAATTTACAGCCTGTTCGCCGCCTTCTTATCTAGGATACGTTGAGGTTTCAAAAAGAGAATCGCAGGAAATTAATATTCACAATTCAATTAAGTCGCTGTCGATGGTGCTGAATTAGCAGGGGCTTGTCGTTGGGGTACATGAGGTCATTCGTGTTCGGTAGCAAATTTAAAACACGTCCAGGCCTGTTTCTAATAAATAAACAGTTCCTTCAACTGTATGTGTGGTCCAGTCAATCACGAATATTTTTGTAGTGAGGGCGCAAGAAGAAACCATGTCATCCCTTATTTGCCCTCCGAACCCAGCGCGTTCAGCCTCACCGCCCCCAAGCTGTTTACCCCAACCTGTTTTCTATTTGCAGACAACACAGTGCTTCATTATACGACTGCGATACACAGCAACACCGAACCTAAAAGTGATGTCTTGTGGAAAAACCTGTGCAAACATCCTCCGCTGCGGCTGCGGGTGCGTCTGGCTCGCGCTTACTGAAGGTCCGTGTGCGCGTGTAAGCGGAGCCAATAGGATAACATTAAAGCCGCGCTGCTCGTCTCAAGGGGAATATCACTGCTAATGAAAATTATTAACATAAATACAGAGGTGTGTGTCGCCGATATCGAGAACAGGGAGGGAAAAAAACTTCTTTAGGTTGTTAATATAGTTCTGGGTTACAAGGAAAATAGTTGCTGAACATGAGCCTCGCAGCGTTGGGGAAAATATGTTAAATGTGCAGTCAGGTTTTTGGAAGATAGCAAGGTGATATAACAGCGCCATACTGACATCTACAGGTTTAAATAACCAGATTCTGTTCTCTCTTGAAAATAAAGGTTCCAAATAGAAGAAAATCTGACTTACGGGCCGATGCTTACAGGAGAGCGTTTTAAAGTTTTACAAAGAACGTTTTTTCTCTCTCTCTCTCTCTCTCTCTGGAGAACCGCCTACTGAAACCAATGCGTTCATCTGAAGAACCTGTACTGGATTCCTGATGAGAGAGGAACCATTAAAGAACCTTTATTTTAAAAAGTGTGATACTTAACATGAATTGAGAATAAAAGTGAGAGTCAGAATTTGTATACATTTTGTTGTGCAAATCTGCAGATTTATTTTTCTTTTTTTTCAAACGATTCCAGTCCCTAGAGGAATACATAGTGTGTACATTGTGCAGATGCTGGATTACATGGAGCTATTTCAGTGCACCGTTATTGTTTTTTGCAGCCCTACTGTGAACTGATTTTGAATGAAAAACCCTCAGAGTTAATTATAGCATGATGCTGGTTTTACAGGGCATGAGTGTTAATTAGGCTTTCGTGTAAGAATATTTAACCCTTACAGAATCTCTTCAAATTGAACATAACATTTTTAGATGTTTTCTTTTAAACATTGCTTGTATTTTTAATTTCAATTTTCAACAAAAAGTTCTAAACGTTTACCTCGAGGTCATTGGTCTGCTCATTGAATGTCACATTTAGATGGAGGTGGTTGTTATTTCATATTTATAATCTAAATAATAATAATAAACATTTAATTTATTCTGTTCATTCTTAAATATATTTACAATATATTTTGTATCAATAACATTTCTTAGCAATAAAACAGAAGGCAGCAAGAATGCGCCCAAAAAATTAAAAAGACTTTTCTCACTGTGGAAAATATGTAATAAATCAATCCTATGGAATTTCTCCACATGAGTGCCCATTCTGAAGTCTTGTGTAATTGTCATGAGATTTATGTGGCTTATGTCGGCTTGTTTTTCTCCACAGGTCTCGTCAGAACCCAGGAAAGGTACGGCATAAACGGCAAGCTCTGCAAGACATGGCCAGGCCTTTGAAACAGTGGCTCTACAAACACCGGGACAATCCGTACCCCACTAAAACAGAGAAAATCCTTCTTGCGCTTGGCTCACAAATGACACTTGTGCAGGTGAGTAAGTTCTTTTTCCACAACTTTTCCATACACGTGCTACCAAGAGCTACTAGTTCTTGACAGAAGGATTATTAAAATGACAGTTTTCTTTTACACTGAGATGAAAATGCAGGTGTTCATTCCAAACACAAGTTGCAACCAAGTCAGGTTTACTCTAGTGAAGGTTTTCTTTTTTATTGTTTAACCAATAAATATATATAAAAATTCAAAGACATTCTGGCCTGTGTTTAACTCTTCACATATGTGTTTTCCAGTCTGTGTTGAGTGTCAGTTTGTGTGTACATATCTGTCTCAGTCTGTGTCTCTGTATATACATGAAGACATAAACATGTTCTCTAAATTTGTTAAGAATTGGCCCAGCCTGAAGATGCTTTTCTGGATGACCCTACAAATTTAATCTGGTTCTAATATTCATGAAAAGGACCCATTTGTTAAAAAATGTGAGCAGACAGCACTGCAATATGGGAAAAAAATACTTACAAACCCAAAACTTATGCTCAATTTCAGTGAATAAATAATCTTACGTGACTGAACACATCTTGAACATCTCTAGACTTTAGAATACACCTGAACTTTTCTCATTGCTAGTACTTTGCTACCACGTCCTATGATACTCAATGCTTCCTTCAAAAACTGGCCTCCGTTGACCAGCTTAAAGTGAAAAATATGGCTTTTGCTCTTTGAGAACTTTATATAAAGCAGAGGTCAGGAAACCCAGAGCTTGAATAACATTTTTAAAGCACAATGCCTGTCATAAGTGGCTTGAAGTGTATCGGGCATGAAAAGTTTTCCTAGTATAACATCTAATGGTCTCTGGTCTCTGTGAAATGGAGAAGGCTGAGTTAAATATTGTTTTTATTGCAAAAAGACAGACGTTGGGCAGAAGAAAAGGAATATTATTAGGTGAGAGTGGCAGAGGCCAGAATAAGCACCCAGGTCGTCATCGTCTCAGTTGAAGAAGACTTAATGTGATGTTACATTCACAGTGTTCCTGGGATATCTGCGTGTGGCATCAGCCTGCTATTTTGAATAGTTTTCATAGTTTCCCCATAAATAAAGCAGTATATTGAGCTTTTAGTCCAAACACACACATCTATGTATGGAAGACAGAAAAACTGTATCAATAATAAACCAATCTTTTGTGTCTTTTATGACCATTCATAATTCCTTTTATTTATTGGTCATTCTTTCCTCAGTACCATTCCAACACCCTCCCTCTTTTCTCAGGTGTCTAACTGGTTTGCCAATGCTCGACGGCGGCTGAAGAACACAGTTAGGCAGCCTGATTTGAGTTGGGCCCTTAGGATCAAACTCTACAACAAATATGTCCAGGGCAACGCGGAAAGACTGAGCGTCAGCAGCGATGACTCCTGCTCTGATGGTACGACACTCGCTCATGCATGCACACAGACAATCACACGTATAAAAACAACTGAGCCTAATTATTCTTGCAGTTCCCTTATGGAGACTTACCAAAAACACACACTCACATTCACAGAAGTGCCAAGGTTGACTGTGATGCTGAAACCAAGGATGTCGAGGACTAAATGTAAAGTTTAACAATCTGTCACTGAAAAACTCATATTGATCAACCACTAATTGGTTGGCCACAATGTTTGTGGTGATGAAATGCACACTTAAAGGGATAGTTCACCCAAAAATAAAACTCCTGTCATTATTTATGCACCGTCATGTTATTCCAGCCCAATATGATTTTCTTTCTTCGATCGAACAACAAAGATGATCTTTTAAAATATGTCTGTGTTTTTTGTCCATATAATAAAAGTCATTGGGGTCTAATGTTGGTTTGGACCTCACCGTTTTTCATTGTATGGGCAAAAACAAACAACAGTTGCACCATTCTTCAAAATATCTTCTTTGTGTTCCACAGAAGAAAGGGTGATTAAGGTCATTGAGGGTGATTAAATGATTGCATAATTTTCATTTTTGGGTGAACTATTTTACCAATGTAAAGTTTAACAATCGGTCATATTGATCAAGCACCAGTAAGAAAATTGGGGTGAATGTTTTATGTTTGTGGTTGTTATGGTCCAAGATGAAACACACACACACACACACACACACACATACACCTAAAGGAATAGTTCACGCAAAAATTAGAATCCTGCCATGATTTACTTCACAAAAAAAATCTTGTAAAAACTGTTGTTGTTGTTTTTTGGTCCATGCAATGAAAGTCAATGGGGTCCAATACTGTTTCATTGTATGGACACAAACCATTACAATGTTCTTTCTCAAGTTAGTTTTTTATTCAACAGCACTTGAGAGTTTAAGTCAATGATTATATAGGTTTACAAGACAAAAGGTGTGCTGAAAACAACAAGGACAAGTCAAGAAATAAATAACTGTAATGCTATATGATTTATTCAGTTTTTATTCTGCCTTTTCTTGCCTTTTCCTTGGAATTGGATTAGTAATTAATGATCAATGCCCCTAATAGTTCTCCTTCTAAAGACACGAGGGTGAGTAAACTTATGAACTATCCCTTTAAGAAGGTGCATACGTAGTCAGACATGTACCTGCACAGATATTGCAATAAACACTATTTATCACTGCTTGAGTATATACACACAGTGCAAGTAAAAATGCTCTTTAAAACAAACAAGCACAAACAAATTCACCTATCCTGGTGCTAAATTTGTGTGGTATGAAGTGTTGCTGTATTTATAAGAAACTGTTCAGGGTTTTATTCTGCATGTAGCTGAAACAGACACTTAAACGCGGATGTTTTATTACAACGCAATCAGTGCAACACTCCAAACATTTTTATAGCATCGTATAGCAGCTGAGCCATAAATCAGGGTTGGGGTATGTGGAGTGCAGCGCTCATGTGTGCATCCTCCTCTGTGTTTAAGTTAACCGGACAGACGCGTAGGCTTACAGACAGTCATGCACGCTGTGATTAACACACCACAACGGGGCGTCAGGACTCAACCACAAACACTCGCACACAATCTTGCGCTTACATGCACAAACACAAAAACATCCTAACTAACTATCTAAAGTTTTCTCTTTTCCTTCTCTCTTTCACGCTCTAATTCACACGCTAAGGCGTTTCAACTACAGGGATGTTGCTGGCTGGCTGACAGACTGCATGTTTGTTGGCCGCATCGCTCAACATAAGCATCCATACACAATGAGACATTCAGTCAGAACACTTATCATCCCCCTGTGCTTAACAGTGACCTCCAAACACACACTCTGTATTTGGTGCCTTGATTAGATGTCTTGGATGAGGACACACACGCTGTGGTTAGAAGAGGAATGCCCAGTCTGTGCCTCTCACACATCTGTCTCATCCTACAAATAACTTCATTTTTTTCTTACACTGAAAAATGGCACAGAAACTGTGTCAGCAGCCTAGCTTAACCTTTGACCTCAAATTCCCTCATTATCAAATCGAAACTCATAAGAATCATAGAATTTATGCACAGAACTTCAAATGAAAAATGATTGTGTCAACACAACTGAATGTGTGTTGATAACTAGTTATGTTGGTATATCAGTAAAAGTTTTGATGCGTTAAACCTTTTTTCTTTAAAAAAATCTAAATCTAACACACGCTGTGGTTAGAAGAGGAATGCCCAGTCTGTGCCTCTCACACATCTGTCTCATCCTACAAATAACTTCATTTTTTTCTTACACTGAAAAATGGCACAGAAACTGTGTCAGCAGCCTAGCTTAACCTTTGACCTCAAATTCCCTCATTATCAAATCGAAACTCATAAGAATCATAGAATTTATGCACAGAACTTCAAATGAAAAATGATTGTGTCAACACAACTGAATGTGTGTTGATAACTAGTTATGTTGGTATATCAGTAAAAGTTTTGATGCGTTAAACCTTTTTTCTTTAAAAAAATCTATAGAAAATTCACTTTTGAAACATTTCCAGAGGAAAACATGTCTTTCGCTACATTTTTGTATTAACTCTTGATCAGAACATACATAGAGAAAAGCATAGAAAGATTATATTCTCATGGTTGAGTAAATAATACATTATTAATCTATAAAAACATTTAAAAAATTGACATTTTAAATGACAATTAAACTCATTGACCCTCAGTATTCAATGTTGTACTGCTTTGTATAAAGAAATGAGGGGAGAACTGTTTAGCTGTAAAAAAAAATTTATGTTTATTTCTTCTGATGTTGGGGTTGATTCTGTGACCTGTTTTCTGTGAGATACACCCACATATTGTGAACCGTGATTATACAACTAGAACATCATGTAACATCATACAAGTTGTTTACTATGCATATGAAATGTCTAGTTGTTTAGAGGGAACACTTTGTTGCACAAACGTTTCATCAGGTCTGAGCTCAGTAATTATGTGCAACAGAAGATCTGAGCTTCAGACACACTCTTCACATATTTGAGTCAACATTGAGCTTTGCAGTGAAATCCTAGCTCACTTAGGAGGCATTCACTCACACAATCCTAACCCTGTATCCTAGGAAATACTGCGTTTGTGTGAACTCCAGTGTGTTTACCTTTGTTTCCTACATTATGGAATGGTTGTCAAGGTAGTATACAATACGGGTGCACTAAAACAATCTTTAAAAAATGCTGACTTTTAGAATGTGGAGTGAGCAATGTGGTTCTGATACGCTGAAAAAAAATCTAAAAAGTAATTTTGGCTTTCTTAAATGAGCAAATCAAAACCAACAAGGAATCAACACACCTAGTTATAAATGAAACCGCTGAAGTTTAAGTCAGTGATTATATAGATTTTACTAAGGACGTACATGTGATAAGGCAAAATGTGTGCTGAAGACCACAAGGACAAGTCAAGAGATGAATAGCAATGGTGGAACTGTAAGTAATAAATGGTCTAATTTTATTCTGCAACAAAAGTATTAACTTCTGTCACTTCTTGACATTTTGGACATTCCATTCTGTTGTATTACAATACAATAGTAATACCCCTGAAAGTTTTCTTTCAAGAATGAACAAACAATGTCTCACAAATCATCCAGTAATAAAATAAGTCAGTGTCTCTTATTTATGTTGTTTAATGAATCACTGCTGGGACTACAGGTGGCTGAGCACATAATAAGAGATGAGTGATTGGGTGTTTTTTACAGAATGATCAACGGAACGGAAAGATCAACTGAACACACTCTCTCCAAGGATGAGATATGACATTGGAATGTCCGAAGAGTTTTTTTTCTCCTGTTGATGAGAAAGTTAATACTTTTATTGGTTTTGTTACCAAAAAGCAGAATGAAATCAGAAGATTTATCACTTGCAGTTCTACCAAAGTTATTTATCTCTTGTCCTTGTGGTTTTCAGTATTTTGGCAAAAATAACAGACAACTCTGTACCATGCCCATGATTAATGAACATCATACGATTGTTGCATTTACACTTCAGTCTAGAACAAAAGCCGCTACTGTGTGAGAGTAGATAAATCTATATAGTCAAAGCAATCCATTGATCCTAATAAAACTATTTGTTTCCTGTTTACTACCATTCAAAAGTTTGGTCAGTAAGATTTTTTTAATTATTTAAAAGAAATCTCTTATGCTCACCAAGCCAAGGCTGCATTTATTTACATTTACATTTAAACATTTAGCAGACGCTTCTATCCAAAGCGACTTACAAATGAGGACAATGGAAGTAATCAAAATCAACAAAAGAGCAAAGTTATACAAGTGCTATAACAAGTCTCAGTTAGCTTAACGCAGTACACGTTGCAAGGTTTTTAAAAAAATCATATAATAAATAAAAAGAAAACAGATATAATAGATAAAGAATAGAGCAAGCTAGTGTTTGAGGACTTTTTTGCTTTTGTTAATCAGAAGTCAGAAAGTCAGAATTATAATTGTATAATAAATAAAAAGAAAACAAATAGATAGAATGCAAAAAGATTAGAGAAGCAAGTGTTAGTTTTTTTTCATTTATTTGATCCATAATACAAATAATTAAAAAACAATGTTATCACAATTTAAATAATTGTTTTCTGTTTTAATCTGTTCTAAAATGTAATTTATTCCTGAGATGGCAAAGTGAACTTTTCAGTAGCCTATACTCCAGTCTTCAATGTCACATGATTCTTCACAAATCATTCAAATATGCTGATTTACTGCTCAATTAGTTGCTCCTTAATATTTTTGGAAACCGTGATACATTTTATTTGACAATTCTTTGATTAATAGAAAGTTCAAAAGAACAGCATTTAACATATCTTTTGTAACATTATACGTTTCTTTACTGTCACTTCTGATTAATTTAAATGGAATAAAATGACCAAAGCACCAAACTTTTGAACAGTAGAACAGGTTCCATTCTTGTCCATCTGTTGTTTTTGTCTGTTTGCTTGCTTGCTTGTATGTTTTGCCTTGATTTTGTTCATTTTATCACATGCATATTTTAAATATTTATATTTAATATTTTGCATTTCTGTATTTAATCTTTTGTAAATATATTTGAATCTTGAAATCTTGAACATTATTTTATTATTTGATTTTATTTTCATACTTGATGCCATTGAAATGATGCCATTCTAGGCTCAAAGGTTCAGCTCTTCTATGCTTTAGCCTCTGTAGCAGTAATCAGTCGCTCAGCACCAAATTTGATCTGACACACTCACTTGCAGTTGGGAGGCCCATGTTTTCAAGGAGTGTAATCCAGTCAAGAGTTTTCAATGTGCTGGAGGGGTCATGCAGAAGAGAAGGGTGATTAAATGAAAATGCTTTTTCTTTTGCAAATGCCTTCTCAAATGTGTATTGACATATTTGTATGTATCCTGCATCACATCCAGATGGTGACCCAGCAGCACGGGCCCAGGTTGGGGAGTTCAGCAAGCCAATGTACCAGAGCGTCATCAAGAAGGAAGGTGGCACTGTGGGTGCAGGTCTTCGAGCCGCTGCAGACGCCTCATTGTCTGATGACTACGTGTCGCCACCTAAATACAAGAGCAGTCTGTTGCACCGTTACCTTAACGACTCGCTCCACCATGTAATGGTGGCCAACGGTGTAATGGACGCACGGAGGAGGAACCACTCAGGCTCTTTCAGCTCTAATGAGTATGATGAAGACCTGCTGTCACCATCTTCTTCTGAAGCAGAAGCCAACTTTATCTACAGAACTGGTGAGCTGCTGCCAGTCTAACATTCTTTCCTTGTCTGTGTGTCTCTTTCGCTCTTTGTGAGGAAGAAGGGCATCTTGAAGCTGTTTCTTTAGCCCAGTATCAGCTGTGTTTTGGTCTATGTATGATTTTGGCTTCTTGTTCTACAACAAGGAGAGTCACAGAGGGGTCATATGTTTTCTCTATTCTACACATACACATAGTTCTATAAATCATTTCATTTCAACCTGACATTTGCAAATATTATGAAATACGTTTTTAATAGTATGATAATACTAGTAAGTTAAAAAATATTGCAGTTCAATAGTTCAAAGAATGTGCGCTTTTATATTAAGCTTTGTACTTTTGATAAAACGGTTAAGGTCATTGAAGTACAGATTTGAATTTGCAATGAAGCAGAACATACTGTACAGTAAACATACTTCATCCTGGTTTAGTTTTCAGCCCATTAACTATCAGCACTTCTTTAGTCAGTCAGACAATTATTCTCTCTTTTCAATCTTCATTCTCTCCTTATTATCTTGGGTTTTTTTCTTGTTTTTTTGTGTCTTTTTCTCTCAACACAGTTTTGAGTGCATGTCCAACATCCACTACTAAGAAACAAGAAGTCTTTAATCAAAAGAGATGTTTGTGTGTTATTGCAAGTGTGGAAGTGTATATCAACTTTAGGGTTAAAGATGTCAGAAGCCTGTGTGTGTGTGTGTGCGCGCGTTTTTGTGACAAATGAGGACATAAATTTGTATAATGACAAAGGTATGACATAGGTATTACAAGGAGAAGGTGACTTTTCAGGACATTACCCCATGTCCCCACTTTTCAAAACGCTTACAAATCACACAGAATGGAGTGTATTGAAAATCTGAAATAGCACAAAGTTTCCTGTAAGTGGTAGGTTTAGGGGTAGGGTTGGTGTAGGGCAATATAATATATGGTCTGTACAGTATAAAAACCATTACGCCTATGGGATGTCCCCACTTTTCACAAAAACAAACCTGTGTTTTTGTGCCTGTTTTTCTATTCTGGTGGGGACTTAAACCTGAATACACACAGACTCATGGGGACTCATGTCACGGTGGGGACCTAAATTGAGGTAAATGGCTAAACAAGCTAATAAATCACACAGAATGAAGTTTTTTGAAAATCTAAAAATGCACAAAGTTTCCTGTAAGGTGTAGGTTTAGGTGTAGGGTTGCTGTAGGGCAATAGAATATATGGTCTGTACAGGTGAAAAACCATTACGCTTATGGAGAGTCCCCACAAGGATAGCAAACCAGACATGTGTGTGTGTGTGTGTGTGTGTGTGTGTGTGCGCGTGTGGAACATAATTTTAGTCTCTTTCATGTCTGAAGTGAGCCCAACTCTGACCTAAAGAATTTTCTCTTTAAGTCTCTTCTATTGTGTATCTTAAACATAAGATTATATAAACATAAGCCCATAAACTTAAAAAAAAATTTTTTTTTAAAGTAATTAATATTAATTCAGCAAGGAGACATTAAATTAATTGAAACTGGCAGTAAAGACTTACGCTTACATATTGATTTTGTTACAAAAAATATATATATTTTTAAAGAAATAATAATTTTGAACTTTCTTTTGAAAAAATCCTGAAAAAATTAAATTAAATTTAAAAAATCACGGTTTCCACAAAAATACTAAGCAGCCCAACTATTTTCAACATTGATAATTATAATTATATTAGAATGATTTCTGAAGGATCATGTGACACTGAAGACAGCTGCTAAAATTCAGCTTTGTCGTCACAGGAAAAAATTACATTTTAAAATACACTGAATTTAAACTGTTTTACCCATAGTTTTGATCAAATAAATGCAGCCTTGGTGAGTATTAAAAACTTCTTTCAAAAACATCACACAATCTTACAGTAGTATACTTGTATTATTTAGTGATAGTATTTAGAAAATAAACAGCTTTATTTTAATAAGTAATGAAACATTTTTGGCCATTTTCTACCAATTTCTTCATTGCAGCTGCTTGATAATGACTTTCAAGAGCATTCACCTAACCCAACATTTCTCATTTACCGAAAAAGGCAAACTCTGCCAAAGTTTAGGCCTCTCTAACTCCTTTGTTTAAGGTCAGCGTTGGTTCGGAGTCTCTCGGTAGGAAGTGTCTGCAGTCCTCACAGTCAGCTGTGTTTGCTCCCATGTGCTGTTTAAGTCCTCCAGGTGTTTGTGATGTTATCGCAAATCTTTTAGACATTCCGAAATGACAAATATGTTTCGGGAGAGTTCTGGCAATTATTTAAGCCCTGTTCATCATCATCTGGAAGCATGTCAGCCTCTATTGATCATTGGTAGGAATTTATGTGAGATACTGTGTCTACGACGAAGGCCTTCGAGCGAATGTGTTTGCTCTCTCTTCTCTTTGAGAAAGAGTTTCTTCAGGTCAGAACACTGGGTCTTTGTCCTGACAGGATTCATAACTGATAACATTGTTTGCTCTTCACTTCTTCGCTTACATATTGTTGTTCACATCGAGCCTCGGGGGTCTCGCCGTGCAGTCTTTGTCTTACTGTGTTTCTCATTTCGTTTGGCCATTTCTTACTGACAAACATGGTTTGCATTATCTCGGGGCTGAGGAACAGAACGCTGGAATTCTCTTCAAACCCAAAAGCTGTTGCTAACTACTTTCTGGACCAATGTTTAAACTCCCTGTGTGCTATGTGATGCAAGGCTGCTTATGTAGACACCTGCTGAGATAGACAGAGGGAAAGAGCTTTGGTGTATTTTGTTGCTCATTTCAGTTTTAATCAGTTCTTCCAAGACGCAGTTATACTTTTAAAGAGTATTTATGAGTTATGTGACTTTTCTCGGCTTTCATAGTAAATAGGCCTACCACTTCCTGGATAAGAATTCTGTTGGCTTTCAGTTAGATGAAGTGTCTGTTTGTCAGCTTGCAGATGAGAAGATCACACAGCAACATTTGCGCAACAACAAATAAGGGATCAATCAGAACAAAATACAGCAATAAACTCTGAATTAAATTGATATTGAATTTGTCATTCAGTCTTGTTGCTGGTTAAAAGGGGTTTGTATCGTTTCCTCCTAAGATTTCACTCTCTCTCTTTCCTCTGCTATTCTATTTCTTTCCATTTTCTTTCTTTCTACATTCCAGAATATTTTCGTATAAATATTCCTCAAGTTTCAGACTAATATGGCGTGAGGTTGAAATTTTAGATCTATGGTCTATGTTTTCTTTTTTTAAAACTGCTGTCTGTCTGTCTCTGCACTGTGTCAGCCAAGACGCTAAGGTTTTAGCTCAGACATCTTTAAACCAAAGTGGCATCTCAGAATGCACTGGTTAAATGTAGCTTAATGGAACAAATTGGATCTAAAGGAGCTCTCTCTTCCTTTCTATCACTCCTCACTTGACGTTTCACAGATCAGACGTGGCAAAGGAGCCGTCAGGCCAGCAAACACTCTGATGGAAAACTAAAGAGGCCATTGTGTAAGAAAAATACGAAATAAAACGCAACGGGAACCCTGATGGATGTTTCATTGAAAACAAGAAGTGAGAGAATTCCAGGGTACATGCCAGGGATTTTATGTCAAATTGCACTTTAATGGGATATTTAATGGCAGGAATCTCGCTCCGTGTTTTCCCTGCATGCATGGTACAGGCTTTAGAGCCGTCCTGTATGATATCTATAACTATGCCGCACTGTCAGATCTGATGGGAGCTCGCAGTAAAGTGAGAGCATGCAAAATATTTCTCAGAACTTTGTCTAACGCTTTAGATGTATTTTCACAGGTTGCATCAGGCGCTGGTGGAAAGTGAAAGTGCATGACATGGGACATAAACTGGCTGCTGCACCATTTATTCTAGAGTGACATGTTATTTGTCCTCATATTGCTTTCAACAGACTCTGTGTGATCCAGTTATTGTAACTGATGTGTCATTTGAGGAGTTTATGAATATATTATGATATTATACTTCAGTGAACTGAAATGAATGAGATGAAAGTGATATATATCTCAATACTTAAATCTAACTTTGAGGGTTTTTGGTACAGCTGCCTATTACACCCGTTCAAAACGTTTTGAGTTCAGTAAGATTTTTTATGTTATATGTGTGTGTGTGTGTGTGTATATATATACAGTATATAAATACTTTTTTTTTTTTAAAGAAATTAAAGGATGCATTAAATTAATCAAAAGTAAAAGTAACGGTAAAGACATAAAAGGCAATGATTCTCCTTCATTGCCCAGAAATATAAAATATAAAGTAGAAATTCATTTTTTTCAATTTATATGTTTGTAATCAGTAAAGTATGTATAAAAAAATTCCCCCCCAAAAAATTATTTTTCCAGTCAATTGTTTTGCTGTGCTTTAGTGTGTTAGCCCTGCTCTGTGGGATATATTTCTTCACAGAACCAAGAATGTCACCTGTGTTTTATGACATGAAAAGACATTCTTTTTCAAGGTCAGTGGACATTAAACAGAGGCAGGAGGCAGAAATATGTTAAACGAAAACAGAGAGGCTTGACAAGGCCACCGGGGCTTATAGGTGCCAGTCACTCATAAGAGTCCTGCAGACTCATTGGACTGAAGCCACCAAAAGAAAATGCTTTAAAAGTCATTATCCAAGACAAGTACAATCTCTCCAACTCAGAAACATTAGAGCAGATTTCAGGCCAATCAGAGGCAGGTGAGCAATTCATCCAAGCCTAAATATGTAACCGAGTGGGAGCACGTAAATTCAGGCATTATTAATGTGCAGGGCCTGCTGTTCATCAGATGATTGACAGCCCTCTGTGTGTACAGCTGGAAATACACAGCACACTTTTATTGCTGTTTTTGCACAGTTGTACTACACATCCAACCACATACAGTACATAAAAACATTGAGAGTCTGATACCATTAAAAAGCTTGAAAGTCTGTCTTTCTCTCAAAGCACGACAGGCTTTGGCTAACATATTTTAGCATTGTTTGACAGTGACATACAGTGCAGGGGGAGGGATGTGTAATTGAGAGAAACAGC